CCCCCCCCAAAAAATCGTTTTTTTTTTCATTTTTTTTCTTGAGGGGGTGGGGCTGGGGTTGCGCCGCCCCATGGCGCCTCCCGAATCCCCAACCCCCCTCCCCACTGACCGCCACGCGTTTGCAAAGACGCGCGGCAGCGCGGATGCGTCCTCGGGGTCGGCGGACTGGCCGCGTCCGCGGATTTCGCCGCGCTCGGCCGCCGCCGAGGGGGATTCATAGTTACTGGGTCATAGGGCTTATACCAAGATGGATCCAGATCTTCCATGTGTGGCCGATTTCGGAGCCGCCCCCAAGGACCCTCGTGCTGAGGACCTCTCTCTCCCTCTTCTTCTCGTTCCCATCTAGTGGGGCCTGCGCTTCGCCATGCTCTGCCTGCCCGGTCAACGTTTCTACTCATCATTTCATCAGAGTCCCACGCAAAGTCGGCTTCTCGACCGGCCCATCGGTGCGCACCTCCGGTCGACTCCGTAATCCGCTTCTCGAGCAACTCTCTCCCTCTAAGGGCCCCTTCCTCATTTCTCTAAGGTCCCCAGCCACTTGCTCTATCACGTACCATTGTCGGGCCTCCTCTGCCCCCTGCTTCCACATTCACCTGATCGGCCCACCGAGTTTCGACGAGGATACCCCTTGTGGTCTCCGCTACTCTTCCTCTTGTCGGCACCTGGGATTCCAAGTCCATTTGCAAATGCATTTCGGTATCTACCTTTTGCCTGACAGGGGTGTCTATTTCTTCAAGAGGTGGATCCGCACTCCGCTCATCCTAATTTCTTGCGGCCACCGGCTCTGTCACCCCTCCAGTTTCCCTACTCAACTTCATTCCCAGCTTCACCCCCCCTTTTACCCTTGCAACGTCCGTCAACCTAGGCAACTTAGAGTACTTAGGTTCAACCTCACTCTCCATGCGCCGAATCGTTCCCTTGTACTCACTTTCCTTGTTAGTGTTCGTACCCTCCTTATCGCTGCTACTTTCTCCCGAGCTTTCTCCTTCCTCACTTGACGTTTCTTCTTGGTCACTTCCTGCTGATATTTCGCTCGTCACGGTCCACCACGAGTCTTGCACCAACTTTTCGTCGTAGGCTGCGAGTGCTAAACGAGCGATTTCTAGATCAGAGACGTTCCCAATCCCCTCCTCGGAACAACGCCTTATCAAATCCCTATCTACCTCGCCTGTGTGTCCTTGAAATAGGGGCTTAATGAATTCCCCCACTTGCGCTCACCGCTCGAAGTCCGTATCACTCAGCGATTCCCGACACCAGATGAACTGCTCGTGCCCTCCCGTCTCTCCCAAGGGGAACTTCTCGATCACCCATCCTCAATTCAAGACCTTTCTAACCGCCGAGTTGTCCGGGTAGAGTAGGAAGGAATCTCCCAGGTTCGGTCGTGTGCTGCCCGAGGAATCTCCTGTCGCCCCCTATATTCGACCCGGTCTAGCACTCGCCCTTCCGAGGAAGCCCCTCCCAACCTCTCAAGCCTGCCTAAGGCTCTCTTTGGAAGGTCTAAGGGGTCCTTTCCTTCAGCTAGCTCAATTGTAAAAAGCTGCCTATTACTGTCGGATTCAAAAATTTCGGCTCGCCGCGTTCTGAGGTCGCCTTCTGAGACCACCGAAAAGCGAATAACTGTTTCTTGATCGTATATTTCAAAGAACTCCACGACCGTCGTTCCTCCGGTTCTAATCTTATGGAGAGTTATTGTGTACCGTCCTCCCGACTTCCAAGCTCGTTCCTGGATACCGACCGGGTTTCCTCGGTCATACCTAATCATCAGTGATTTATCTCATCCTGACTAATCTCTCAGCCGCCGTGGCCAATGAATTTTCATACCTCCGCCGAGCGTTGTCACCTCCCTCGTTTAACATTTGTCGCAAAGCCCGTTCGTATTCTCACGTCCTATCCCAAAAGTGAGTTTCTACCAAATATAATCTTGCTTCAAGCGGTATCCCTAAGCTCCTATCGTCTTTCTCAAACCTTCGTTCTACCTCCAACAACGACTCTCTCCACTCTCTCGAAAAGCGGGTCCCTCCTGACTCACTTACTGTAATCGAAAATCTTGCTAACGTCATTCATGACCTTCTCTTTCATAGGGCGAGCCTTCAGATCTCCACAAAGAACTCATTTTCCGCTCTAGACACTTGACCTTCTCGAAGCCCAACGGCTAATTCCGCCACCGCTTTTACTTCTACCTCGGGGTCGTCGTCTCGGGTCTGTAGTTCCCAATTTACTGATCCCAAGGTAAAGCTAGCTCTCATGCCTATCTATCTCCCGAGAGCAGCTCCTCCTTTTGTTCGTCGAAGACCTAGACGGTTGTCCTTTCAAGCGGTTGTATCTTGTCCAAGGAGTCAGGTCTAGCCCTTCTCTGCTCTTCCCAGCAAAGGGTCAGAATCCTATAAAGTTCCATTCTAACCCTATTTAGCCCTGAGGTCCCAATCGTCCGGCTCACTCATGCCTAATACCTCTCCGTTTGCATGCAATGACGATGCTAATGGGCTCCAAAGGGTTGAGGCCTTCTAACCTAGTCTCACAAATCTCACCAAGGTACCTTCACGAGACCATCGAGTCCCTCACGTGTTGGCCCCCATCTTCAAATGTGTACCCGAAGTTGTTTAGCCACGACCAGTCGTTATGACTCGGATTTTTAAGACACCATGTTAAGAGGGTATGCAAGTCTGATTCTGTAAAGCGAAACTGATTTAGGACCGCGACCCTGCTCTCGACCGCTTCTTTAATCGTCTCAGAGGGGTAGATTCTTTCGAAGATGAATCTGGGTATTGCCACCAGGTAGCTCGTAGCAAAATATGACACCTCCTCAAGCCCAGCGTATATCACCTAGTATGCTATTCGGCATCCCCTTGGCAACTCTACCTCGTAAGCTAACTCCTCTAGTCTGGTCCTTACGGGCTGCTCGTGCCAAAGAGGATCATGCACCAACTTCAAACTCAAAACTGCTTCTACAAGTCCTTCTTTTGAAAGGCAGATCTTCATTCGTCCGACCAGCAAATCACCTTTATTGCTTACAGTCAGACAGACGAATGCCTTGCCACGGTAGATCTCAGCCTCTTCCTTTTGAACCCACTGAGTTTGAGGGATAACAACTAAGCCTGATTTTGGGAGGGTGACCCAACAAATTCCCCTTTCTTCTTCTACAGGGTGTATAGAGGCCCAACATGCCCCCATAACCTTTTTTATCATAATCCCCTATGAGGGCTCGTACCCCTTTCGGTTTGCAACTTGCTCCTCTCCAAATATGCGCGCGTAGAGGACGTCGACACGCGCGCTCTCACTTCCTCGAACTCCCTCAACCGCTCCGAAATCCCAACTAATTCTTTTTTCGTTAGCACCCCCGCGTCGACACACCCGGTGTAGAGCCAGAATAACCCTAGCGCCCGGATTCCTGATTGACAAGCGGACCGAAGTACCTCTACGACCCTTTCCTCTGAATCCTGTAAGAGTGTTCGCACCAAAAAGTTGGGCAAAATTGCGCGGAGGACCTTCGAGGCGCGGGGGATCTCGCCCGGTTCAGCGAAAGATATCAACGTCCACGACTCGAAAGTCCCTTTCTCGTAATACCCTAAGACCAAGTCGCTTACCACCTTCCTTGCGCACTGTGTATACGGCCGTACATATACGGCCCGTCTGTACGTCCGGACGTCCGTACATACGGCCCCCCCAACGTCCGTACGGCCTGTACGTACGGACTTCGGGCCGTGCGTGCACCGCCTTCCAGAGGGGTGGTGGAGGGGTTGATGGGCTGGGGGGGGGTCAGGTGTCAGGGGGTACCCCCCCATTAAAAAAAAACAGAAAAAAAAAAAGATTTTTTTTTTTTGGTCCCGGGTGATTTTTTTTTTTTTTTGATTGATTGATTAATTAATTGATTGATTGTTTGATTGATTGGTTGATTGATTGATTGATTGATTGATTGATTAATTGATTGATTGGTCGATTGATTGATTGATTGATTGATTGATTGATTGATTGATTGATTGATTGATCGAGCGTGAAAAAAGAAAACGAATAAAAAGAAAAAAAAATCCATTACAAAAACTTATTGCTTGATTGATTACTTGATTGATTGATTGATTGATTGATTGATTGATTGACAGTGGGGGGGTCGCCTCCCCCCCGCAAACACACACACACACACACACACACACACACACACACACACCAGGGTTGTCGACCCCCGGACCCGGGGCCCCGACGGGGGTCCCGGGGGTCGGGGGTCGGCACCCCCGGCCCCGACTTTCCAAA